TTAAAACTAACTTTGATTACCATAGTCAGAATTGACCTATATACTTACTCCGTATACACTTTGCATGCTCTAAACACTAATGCTTTTTACAACATCCTTCATCCATTGATGCTTCCGCTGCAGCAGTTGCAGAGTGAAGCAGCAGCAGAGACTCCCAGACATTCCTATCCAAGCAAACCTTCTCCAGTTCCTAGAGCAAATCCCTCCAGAGGGTCCTGGAGCTCCTCCTCGGGCTCACAAGACCCTTTGACTCAAACTAATTGGGTCTACTTGGGGTAATATAGGAGGAGTCGTTTTATGCAAAAAGTTAAAATATAGATGTGTTGACTGGGAGTTCTAAGTCAGTAAAGTGGATCAAAACTTGTGGGCTTTGACCCCCTCCCCACCTGGGAGCCTCTTCAGTTCTCAGGCCTTAGCCCTCATTCTTCATGACTGCCCCATATTATGAATCTGGTGTGCTAGAATGGGTGGAAGGCCTGGCGGCATCATTACAGAGGTAGCCCCACTTCTTCATCTGCCCCATGCCAGCCATGGCTACAAAATGTATATAAAACAAAATGTACATTACATTTTTGTCCATATACTTCTCTAATGTGTGTCTATGTACCCTGTGTTGCTGGTCCACTGTCCATGTCTGTCAGTTTTCCTGCTTCCCCGTGTTGTTTGGATTTATGAGTTTCTATTTACCTTGGACCTTTATTTATACTGACATTAAATCATACGATAACGTGACATAGCACTATTCTTATTCGCTGTGGTTTAACCTTGTTTTGAAAAGGGTTTACTGCTATTCCTTTGTAGGTTAGGTTCTAAAAACAGCAGGGTTTTTGGGAACTAATCGCAGATTTCCAATGGGGATTCCAACTGGAGTAAGATTGTACAATAAAACTAACAGCGTCTGAAGGCTGCAGAGCATTTTGGTGAAGACGAGTCCATATTTAACCAACACTCTTCTGAGGTTACGTAATCCAAGCGTAGTCTCCATTGCATTTAATCCCCTACAGGAACTTAATCCTGCGGCTGAGCAAACAGCGCTCCTCGATCTCTCTCCTTATGCAGGGAGCAGAAGGAGGTGAGCAGCGACCAAACAGATACAGGTCTGTGCAAAAAGCAGGGCAGCGTCTGTGTTTCGTGCACGCCACAAAAAGTGCTGGAGTAAGCACATTTTTTAATTCGTCAAAACTAACAGGTTTTGTCAGGGTTTTGTTATAAGAAGTGCAAAACAGGCAAAGTAACTGTATCGTAAGCATACCCTCGAGAACTGCATAAGTAGCCGATATAACTCCATAATCACTTTGCTGATGCTTCCCGCTTGTTCAGTTCAATGGGAAATCATATTGTTTGAATGACCCATTACTCTTATAGCACGAGTGACATCACGTTAACACGGGAAATGAGCGGTACTATTTAAAGGGCCCATGACGCAATTGTGTTCTCTAAAATGTGATCATCTACAAGAGAAACACTCAGGAAATTTGAATACACAGTGGTCCCTCGTTTATTACATGAGTTACGTTCTAAACAGTATCCATACTAGGTGAAATCTGAAGTAGCAGCTCTTTGTTTTAAGGCTGTAAAACTTATCCAACCACTTGGACTGACAATTGCTGAAGTATTATCGCAGAGATATCAAAACTGTAGGTGTGCGCGCTGCTGCAGCTGTCAAAAGCCATGCATACACTGTAAAATACAGCTGTAGAGGACACAGCGCAGGAGCAGGACTGACGGCTCCGGGATCATTTGGATTATCATGGTTTTCAGTCCATTTTATAAATATGCTTCTTTTCTCTAACATTTTATTCAGATGGCAACCCCAAGTGCTTCACAATAGCCCACAAATAAGATAAAAAAAAATACATTATACCATTGCACATGAGAAATTTCAGTGCAAAATAAAAATCTATACAAAATACACAGTAAATATTTCAAAACGCTGGTGAAATTTCTATCTTAAAGGTAGATAAGTCAGTTATATGCACAGCTAAATAGACCCGTTATCATCCTAGATTTGAACATTGCCAAAGTAGATATATATAACACTGGATTTGAAAAAAAAAAAATCTATGTAAAAGAAAATCCCGGCCGAAACGAACCGACACCTCTCCCATGTGGCTGCAGGAAAAGATGGAAAAGGTGAGTACATTAACCACGAATGAGAGGTGTATAGTCCTAAGACAGACCCTTAAACAGCTGAAGCCTGGCAGGGAACCAGGAAGTTACGTAAAGGCCTGGGATCTCCTGCTCACCTCCGCCATACGCTCCCTAATCTGCCTCTCAGCTGCAAAAGCCCCAACAGACTGCAAACACACCCGGGAGAGGGGCAATCGTCTGTATAGGGTCAGCAAAAAGCCACTGCCAAACTACCTGAGTCTGCAGTTTTATTGATAAGGATGATACGTTGAATTTGTAATATAGTTGTATTTTCATGTTTTCAGTCAAAAAGAACAAAACTTTAAAATATTGCTGTTTCTCTTTGTTGTTGTAGATGATGATGTAGATTTGTAAATCAGAGGACTGGACACAACTGATAAATTCATTTAATTTAATGTGGGGCGGCTGCAAGTGTAAAGTGCCAAAAAAAAATTGTGTCCATAGGCAAGACACTTCACCCACATTGCCTAGAATGAGTCTGGTGTGTGTGTGTAAATGCTTGGTGGTGGTGGGAGCGGCCGATGGCACATACTGGTTGCCTCACTTCTGTCAGTGTGCCCCAGGGCAGCTGTGGCTAAAGTACTATTTTATCACCAGTATTGAGTAATGTGAAGCATCTTTGTGAGTCCAAAAAGGCTCTATATAAAACTAATAAAGTAGAAAAAACACGCTTCTGTCTGCTCTAGTGATCAGTTATGACAAGTATATCTCCTTATTGAATATTTAGTACATGTTAAATCTGCTCTATCTCTATATTGGTCTAAAAGTATACTATTTAAGAAACTTGAGAGTCAGCTTTCTTCTGTATTAAAGCTTGGGTTACTAACTTTTTTCCCTCAAACATGACACACTTTGATTGTCACAAGAGAAAGAGTCTTCTGTTGCATACTGTACTTTACATAATATGTGTGTCTTTTGCATTCTTGAAAGAATGAGTCCTGTGACACTTTGAGCTGAGAGCTGATTGGCTGAGTGAATGTGTCCTTTCTTTTTTCACATTTCTGTCTAAAAAAGCAAAAAATCATGAAAACGACTGATAGAACCAAACTGTTTTGAGAGCTAAGAACTATAGTTAGATGGATTATATCACACCGTTTGGCATTGTTGTGGTTTAGAAGTAAGTTACCACAGCTGTAAGTCTGACCATATTGATCTGTGCTCTGCCCCTTGGACACATTAAACGCTGTGCTCAGACCACAGACCTTCAAGCAAAATCACCCACATCAGAAATAAAAAATTGTAAGTGCGGGCATTGGGTGGTGGCAGTGGTCAGAGGAGCCAGGGAGGGCAATGATAACGAAAATATGCACAACATATGTCAAATTAGCATGTTCCTGTCTCTTGTGCGGGAGACACGAATACCATATGTCATTCTTCAGTCGAGTTCTGTCCTTGTAGATTGTCCTCTGACATGTTTGTTCTTTTGCATGTGAACCACTGTGTGTGTTTTGAAACAGACGGGACGTGCATTTCTCTGATTGGTCAATTTTCCTGTCAAATACATCAGAAGAAATTATTCTGCTCCAAGCATTAGGCCTCTGTAAAGTAATGTCACAGAGTGTTTGTGTTGAGCATTTGTCTCGTTCAACTGTTACAGTAAAACAACCGGACACACAGACAGCTAAACATTTCCTTTTTATGTCATTACATTTGTTTTGTTTTTTGTATAAAAGAAAATGGAAGAAAATGGAAAGTTACATAAAACACAATACATTTTTCTAATATATCCTTAAATGTCTGGCCTCCAAAATCATTGAAACCTCCAACTTTTGCTGTGCTCTTTGTGAACCTGAGACTCTGTAGTTTGGCCTCTGATTACTTACTTACTTACCCGTATTGGCTGAACTATTGAGCACACCTATATATAAACCACAGCAGCTACATTTGGAAATAACGTTTTTTTATGTTGTAATATAACACTTAACCAGCAGCTGATGGAGAAAAGTAAAACCAAACTTTATTTAGTTGAAGCTTTTCACTGGACACAACATGATTTAATGATGATTAAAGCACTCTGGTAAATCCAATCTATTTTAACAATAACATTCCTACTAAAACAATAGTCCTGATCAAATATACAGAAGTCCTGTGTCGACTCTCTCTGCTGTTCACATAAACACGCTGAAGCAGGAATGTGTTCTACATAGAGCTGTCAGTTAAATGTGTTTTTTTAACGTGAGCACGAGCCGTTAATATAGACTCAGAGACTGAGTAGCCTACAGTTATATTAGACAATCCAAGTAATTTCTTTTTGCTTCATTCAATCTCTTTTCAAAACAAATCAAGTGACATTTAGCGATATTTGAATCGTTTGACATTGTTGCTTTATAGTCCGCAAAGTCCAAAGTAGAGGCTTATAGTTCGGCAATCACGGTATTTACTCTCATTATCAGTGCATAGAGAAATATCCAATTTCAAATCCTACCTAGAATTTCTTTAGTAATTTACAGTTCTTTAAGTCAGAGTGAAGTGGAGGGATTGTCTCAGGAACAGCAGAAAGACCAACTTTCTATGAGATCGTGCTTTTTCACACTTGTTCTGCATTTGATATTTTTTAGAAATAAGAGGAATACAGACTAATTTTGAGATTTCCCATGCCATGGAGCCTAATGATTGGCTAACATTTAAAATATTAGGTAGCTGAAGAGGGCCCTATGAAAAGTGTGAGCGTGTATAGACTCATATCTCTGCTGGGTTGGACCTGTACACTGTGGCTGTCACTAGAGGATCTTCTCTGGGGCATTCTGTGCAAATACAGCCGATGCTATAATCGGCCAAAGCAGCAGCGCTCACAAACAGCCAGAACAAGCTGCAATGCAAATGAGGCTGTAGCGCGTGTGTGATGTTACCTGACGTTGTCGTGGCGCTGGATGTAGATTTTGTGAAAGATCCTTTCTGGGGGCTTCAGGAAATCCTCTTTCATCTCCATAGCTACGTTTCTGGGCAACAGGCTCATTAGCAGGCGCTCCTGTGTGTCCGGGAATAAAGCATGACAAATACAAAAAAAGATAAGTCACGTCGCCTGTTTTTTATTTTTCATTTGAACCTATCATCACAAGGCATCACAAGGCATATTTTTTTGCAATTTAAGGGGTATATTTATCAATCCAGTATAGCGTTTGCAATTTGAATGGTTTAGTTCTATTATGTGCATATGATTAAATCAGTTTGCTCCAATGTTAAAAACATCCTGTCTCTTATCATAATATTTTCTTTATACATTTATATATTTTGATAATACATTTTACTCATGTTCACATTTTCATTCGTATACGTTTATCATCTTTTATTTTACATTTTTAATTTTTTGTGTGAAATTTATACAAAATTAGTATAAGTGCAGTTCTATGGAAACTTTTTTATATGCTATAAAAAATAAAGTGGATCGGAACCAAACTCTTGATATTATTTTGTTAGTTTTTGTAAAGTTACGTGTTTATGTCCGTCTTTTGGGCTATGGCCTATTAACAGTGTTTTTTTTCTACCTGAGGTGATTCAGTGCATGATACAGCCACATTGTAATTCACACAATGGAAAGCATATGACTAGGGATGTAAAAAACTATGAATTTTCATGACCGACCACCGAGCCTCATTAACCGGTTGAAACCGGTTAACCGCGTAGTTTAAAATAGTCCACGTTCTTTGAAATAACAGCCATTTCGAGCTGCGTACTTTTCATAAGTGCAGCTGAGCGTTCTACTGGATCAGAGCCGAGACAGCGGCGCCCAAACCCGCAACAGCTCCGGCACCTTCGCGCACAGAGAACTGCTTTTTTAATCTTCCCATTCTGCTGTGCTGCGGGTTAATACCAAAACTTTCTAGCAGCAAACGACGGCTCGACTACATGGTCAGAGCAGCGAGTGACGAGACGCGTCTCACAGGTCTTCACAAAAGTTTAAATACAAGTGATGTGTGTGGAGCTGATCCCGAGGACCATAAACACAAACATGTTCCATGTGGTTTGACTGGAGCCGCGTATTTGTGCGAATCCTTTGGGCTCCGTGACACAGAGGAGCGCGACAGACCGGTATGTGTGTGTGTATGTGTGTGTGTATGTATGTGTGTGTGTATGTATGTGTATGTGTGTGTGTATGTATGTGTGTGTGTGTAAATATAAGCTCCAATGTAGTTCTGACCCGCGCCAGTGTGCAACTTTGACGGTAACAGAGGGGAGAGATGATGCGTGTGGATGTTACGTATGGAGAGGGGGAAAGTGTGTGTGTGTGTGTGTGCGCGCGTGTGTGCATATGTGGCTCGTGCGGCGTGAGAGTCGTCCCGGAGTTTATAATACATGGGCGCACACAGCTAGATACAGACCCGCTCGTCACACCGTGCAAATAGGGCTTAAAATAGCGTTATTAAGAGACCTCCCCTCTCCCCTTTTTCTCTTTTTTAACCGACAGCTTTGGCCGGTTAACGCTGTGACGGTCAACCACCGGTTAACCGGTCGCCGATTTACATCCCTACATATGACTAATCAAAAAAATAAAAATGTCCCCAAGCGCGGCACTACAATGACCTCTGTTTCTGACGGGTTGCTCTAGTGGCATTGAAAGAAGGGTCAAATGCAGAGGACACATTTCCCTATGGGGGCAATAAAGTATGTTTTATTAAAAGAACTTCCTGCTCTGGACAGAGCAGTCGCATTCTCTTGCTGCTCCTCGCTTGCTGCTTTTTTATCTCCTTTAATCATTTTTGCTTACATTTTTATTCCACAAAACAAGGATTACTCCTTTTTACAAACTTCAACACAAGACTTGTGGAATTTACCTAACTTACAGCATGTCGGGAGGACGGGAAAAAAGAACAAAACTTTGCGACGGCTGTTTTTCACTCAAACAGGAGCTAAAACTTCTTCAAGACCGAATGTTTGTGCTTGAATCAGAATTGAGGCTGAACACAACAATACCAGTGAAAGGAAATGGACCAAATGGACAGCACGTAAGTTATGATGACGCTATTTCATTTCCCAAAATCAACAGAGACAATTGTTGGAACACATATGGTGCCAAGCCCAAACAAGGCAAATCTTTAATTACAAGAAACCGCTTTTCACCACTTTTGGAAGATGAATCAGCAGTAGCCTCTCAGTCCCAGTCTCAGTCACAGTCAAGGTCAAATGCAGCTGAGTCGCTCTTTATCGGGGATTCTGCGATAAGACATGTAAACATGCGTAATCTCAAGGTTCACTCAGTACACTCTGCCACAGTGGATGAGATAAGGCGGTTGGCTCCGAGGCTTCTGTCTGAGACCGGCGGGGTAAAAAGATTGTTGATCCACGTGGGGACAGTAGACGTCTATGACAACACAAGTGAAAAGTTGAAACGGGATTACTCTCTCTTATTGGACGACCTTGCTAAAATGGACGCAACAATCGTTATCAGTGGCCCACTACCAAATGTGGACGGGAAGCAAATGAAATTCAGTCGTCTGTATCAGCTAAATACTTTCCTACTCAACGAATGTTCACGCAGAGGACTTGCCTTCATTGAGAATTTTAATCTGTTCTGGAATAGGCATGAGCTTTTTGAAGGGAAAGGGCCACATCTGAACACTTACGGAGTAAAAGTGTTGATGGATAACATTTCTTTTGCCCTGAGACCTCAGCCTGCGCAGCGCGTGCAGCCATCGAAAGGGAGGAAGCCGACTCTAAAAGTCACTGCACCTCCACCACCTCGAAGGATCTCACCCCAGCCTACAGCAGACAGGCCTGTGCTGGGGTTTCCTCAACCACCTGCCCCTCCATCAAAGACTCCCTCGCCACCTCCCATGGACCTGTCTTGGGTCCCCCCTGCCACGTCCACTCCATCAAGAGAGAATGGGGAGACGTCCCTTTGTTTTTCATCCCCGCCTTCACTGTTAGACCTACCTGAACACTCTGCAGGGCTAATAAAATCGGCGATGAAGACTATTCCTCTCACACCCATATTAGCTAGATCTAGAGTCCTGTCCAACATGCTAAACCACTCCCCATATGTACCCCCAAAACCACCTAGGGTTTCCAATTCACCTACAAAAACCACCTCAGCCAGTCCCTCCCCAAACCTCATGACCATTCCACCCCCACTTCCCCCTCGTTCAACACCCAAAACCTCTGCCTCAGCCCACCCTGGCCCTAACCCATCACCAAAAACCCCTCCACCTCCCTGCCCCCCTCGTTCAACACCCAAAAGCCACCCACCTCTCCATCCTCCTCCCCCGCCTTCCCCTTCCCCTCTTTTCTCTAAACACTAGGATGCACAGGGTCTCTGCTTCGCAGCCACTGGCAGTCTAGTTAGAGGAGAGACCCGGCTGGGGCCCTGTCATGAAGCCACCTGTGCCATTCCCTTAGTGATAACACAAAGAATACATTACAGAAAAACATCTGGAGTTAATCAGTCTAATCTGGAAAATCTAATTCTTGTTCCGTGTAAGAATCAGCCGACCACAACCGCTGATACTGAAACTTTGAAACTTGCTACGCTTAATGTCAGATCTCTTTGTAACAAGTCTTTTTTAATCAATAATTTTATTTGTTCTCATAATCTTGATCTTATGTTCATGGCTGAAACTTGGCTTGACCAAAATTCAGGAAATGCAGTTTTAATAGAAGCATCACCACCAAATTTCAAGTTTGAATCTGAAATACGGGAAAACAAAAAGGAGGAGGCTTAGCTGCCATTTTTAGAGACCACTTTGTCTCCCATAGAATGTCTCTTGGGAAGTTTTTGTCATTTGAATATGTGTCTTTTAAAATACAACAAAAACAATCTCCTCCAATACTCTTCGTTGTCCTATACAAGCCACCGCAGTCATGTCACAGTTTTATTGATAATTTTACCGAGTTGCTTTCAGTTGTATGCACAGATTTTGATAGTTTGGTTATTACAGGTGATTTTAATATTCATGTGGATAATGTTGATGACAGAAATGCAAATGAGCTGAGTTCTGTACTTGAATCCTTTGATCTCACTCAGCACGTAAGTGGCCCCACCCACAGCAGAGGGCACACTCTAGATCTGTTAGTTACTAAGGGGGTGAATATTTCAAATGTAAACGTGGTCGATGTTGCTCTTTCGGATCATTTCTGTGTTTTTTTTTTACATGTGTTTCACTAACAAACCACCAGTGGACTCTGCAACTGTACGAAGAAGACACATAAATTAAAATACGAGTGAACTATTTATGGGAATGATAAACTTTGAGAATGCATCGTAAGTAAGTAAGTAAGTAAGTTTTTATTTATATACCGCCTTTTCACTGCAGATCTGAGTCTCAAAGCAGTTTACAATTGTTAATTTTTGGGCATTTGTCTCTCACTCCACACAGAGATGGGGTCGCCAGTACAGGAAGCGCATGCCAGAACTATTGGACATATTTTTAGTGGTAGGGGAAACCGGAGTACCCGGAGGAAACCTACGCAGACACGGGGAGAACATGCAAACTCCACTCAGAAAGGCCCTGGTCCGACCGGGATTCTAACCCAGGACCTTCTTGCTGAGAGGCGAGAGTGCTATCCACTCAGCCACCGTACCGTCGTATTCTACTGTAGATGAACTTTTTAACTCTGTCACCTCTAGTGTTTTGAATGTTCTGGATACCGTTGCCCCTGTGAAGGTTAAAATAGTGAAAAATAAGCAGAAGGCGCCGTGGGCTAAAGCAGACTCGGTCAGGGCACAAAAGAGAAAGTGCCGGAGGGCCGAGCGGAAGTGGCGCAAGTCCAACCTCCAGGTTGATTACGAGATCTTCAAAGATAAGTTGTGCGAGTTTAACCGGGTGCTACGTAGTACGAGAGAAAGGTATTTTTCTGAAATGATTGAAGGCTGCAGCAACAATCTGCGTGTTCTGTTCTCAACAGTTAATAGATTAACAAACCCCCCTGTTCAAATGCCATTAGAGCTTACTTCCAAACGTAAATGCAATGAGTTTGCTAATTTTTTCAATGACAAGGTTCAAGGCATCAAAAACGCCATTGTCTCCAATCCACAGATAACCATCCAACAGCCAGAAAGGCTCTCTGAGCTAACTCACTTTGCACCTGTAGATGATAAAACTGTCCAAGAGATAATCTCCAGTTTGAGCTCCTCCACATGCAGCTTGGATGTACTACCCACTAGATTTCTGAAGTCTGTTCTGAGCAGTCTGTTACCTTCACTCACACAGATAGTAAACATGTCCCTTCATTCTGGAATATTCCCAAAGGCCCTGAAAACTGCAGTCATCAGGCCCCTGCTAAAAAAGAGCAGTCTCGATGCTACGGTACTTAACAACTATCGTCCCATCTCAAATCTGCCATTTATGGGGAAAGTCCTTGAGAAAGTTGTCTACCAACAGCTTACTAGATTTCTTATAATCAACAACTCATTTGATATGTTTCAGTCCGGCTTTAGACCCCACCACAGCACTGAGACTGCTCTTGTTAAGGTTACAAACGATATCCGGCTGAACACTGACGCAGGCAAAGTCTCAATCTTAATCTTGTTAGATCTAAGTGCTGCCTTTGACACCGTCGACCATGAGATCCTCTTACAGAGATTAGAGGACTGGGTTGGAGTCGCTGGCACCGCCCTAAGTTGGTTTAGGTCTTACCTTGAGGACAGGAAGTACTTTGTGGAGATTGGAAACTGTGTCTCAGATCATATGGAGTACCACAGGGGTCGATCCTGGGACCTCTTCTGTTCAATCTCTACATGCTGCCGTTAGGTCAGTTAATACGCAGAAACGAAGTTTCCTATGATAACTATGCAGACGACACTCAGATCTATGTCTCATTGACTGCAGGAGAACATGGACCAGTGGACTCACTCCTTCACTGTATCCAACAGATCAGTGAGTGGATGCAAAACAACTTCCTTCAGCTAAACGCAGACAAAACTGAAATGATTGTCTTTGGTCCCCAGAAACAAAGAGAGAGCGTCATCTGTCACCTACAGTCTCTCTCCCTAAAACCTTAAAACAAGGTCAGAAATCTAGGGGTAATACTGGACTCAGACTTAAATTTTAATAGCCACATCAAATCAGTAACATCAGCAGCTTTTTACCATCTAAAAAACATTGCCAGGATCAAAAACATAGTGTCTAAAGCAGACTTGGAGATTCTTATCCATGCATTTGTCTCCAGTAGGTTAGACTACTGCAATGGCCTGCTCACAGGTCTGTCCAAACAGGCTGTAAAACAGCTGCAGTACATTCAAAATGCAGCAGCTCGAGTCCTGACAAGAACCAGGAAGTACGACCACATTAGTCCAGTTCTCAGGTCTCTGCACTGGCTTCCTGTGGCTCAGAGAATAGACTTTAAAACAGCTCTGCTTGTGTACAAGTCTCTCCATGGCCTCGCACCAAAATATATTGGTGACATGTTAGTCCCATATGAACCAGCCCGGACTCTGAGGAGCACAGGGATTGGACTCCTGTTAGTGCCCAGAGTCAGAACTAAACATGGGGAGGCTGCTTTTCAGATTCATGCTGCTAAAATCTGGAACAGTCTTCCTGAAGATGTGAGACAGGCCTCCTCTCTGACAATGTTTAAAACCAGGTTAAAGACAGTTCTGTTTAGCTGTGCATACAACTGAGGGATTTTATATTTGTATCTTTCTTTTTAATGTTCTGTGATTATTTATGATTTTAATGCTTTCTTGTTTTGTTCAGCACTTAGAATTGCCTTGTGTATGAATTGTGCTATATAAATAAACTTGCCTGGCCTTGCCTTGCCTTGCCTTACCTTAGAAAATTATATCTGCGACATTTATTCATGTGGAAAAAATCTACAAATATGATGTGACATTGGAATTATCATTTGATTACTATCATTCTAAGCCAGAGATACTACACCCACTCAATGGTTTAAAAAAGCAATGAATAAGTTCTATGTGTATGGATCTGGTTGGAGATTAATTTGACAAAATATGTGTATCTGTGCAAAACAGCTAACCCAGGCTTTATTCATTTATTTATATTTATATTATTATTATTTTCTTGTTGGCCCAATGGGTGAAAAGACAAAAAAAGTGTGTCTAATAAGGAACTTGAAATTTGCTTTGATTATGTTGAGATGTACTGTGCAAAGATAAGTATTAAAAAAAATAAGTTCTAAGAGAAAGATCATTCTGTAGTGTTTCCCACGATTGCATTGACTGACTTATGAGGAAGCATCACACAAGAATAATCCACTTTTTTTTTTCTTTGCCTGCAAAACTTTTCACCCGTTAGGCAAGATGCAAGCTGGAGTAAAGGGTATGCAGAGTGTGTGACAGAAATACACAAAGCTTGATGACTCATGCAGAGATTGGTGGGGGGTGTCTAATTTTACCCCAGCGTTGGAGATATACCTGCTTCTCGTTCTCATCCTCCATGCGCAGCCTCTCTTCGATGCAGTTTCGGGCCTGCAGAAAAGCCTTCCTCTGGGCACGCTCAGTCAGGATGCGCACAAACAGCCCCGACAGGTTGACACTGGTGAAGAGCACGGTGTTGGCCACAAGCTGCAGAGAAAGACAGCAAAGACATTCATGCAAATATCATATACCATCTCATACAAAGGGGTGGGTTGTTACTGAGCTAAGGCTGCTACAAGACACGTGGATGAATAAAAACACTTCACATGTTATTATTCTTTTACTCCAAAAAAATGGTGATGAACTACTATTGTTGCCACGGCTGCCCTGGTGTACATTGACAGAGGCAAGGCAACCAGTATGTTCCATTGGCCCCTCTGATCACCACCAACCACACACACCAGACTCATTCTAGGCCAGGGGTCTCCAACCTGTGGCTCGGGAGCTACCAGTAGCTCGCCAGCCCCTTTCAGGTAGCTCCTCAAAGGATTTAGAATTTAACAAATGATCCGGAATTAATACATTTTTAGTCATTACATGTCAATTACAAGTATAATTATAGGGTTATACAGTATTATGGTATATTTTACATGTGTTCTCCATGTGTGTTCTCTTTCGACGTTATAATTACAAAGATTTTTATTACGACTGCAAAAGGGAGTAGCTCTCTGTCTCTTCTGTTGTATAAAAGTAGCTCTCCAATTGGAAAAGGTTGGAGACCCCTGTTCTAGGCCATGTGGGTTAAGTGTCTTGCTAAAGGAAACAACAACAGTTTTGCACTTTACAGCCGCCCCACTGTGGCACCTGGTGTTCCCAGAGGTCTCCCATCACAGTACTAACCAGGCCCTGCCCTGCACAAAACAGGTGCTACTTTGTTGTTTGGTTAAGCAGACAATCAATCCAAATACAATACTATCAAGGCCTACTCTATGATTACTCTTAGAGTGACAAAAATACACAAAGATACACACAACACAAGATAAATGAACAATAACTCTACACTGAATAAAATAAAAATAGCATGAAGAAGAAACAAGTATAACATCTCTATCTTTAGCATGATTAGTACTGAAAATAAGTCAAAATGTGGAAGGACTGGCTGCTCAGGGAAACGCCTCAAATGGCCTGTATCTGGATCACTATCAAAATGGAGACTTTTTCATCCATTTAATGATCTTTAAAAAATATGTTTGTATTGTGTGGCCGGGAAAGTTCCACATTATAGAATTATTGCTTATTTTTTCACCAATACAGTTCTAATTCCAACGTTCTCATCATCATGTTATTTGCAGTAAAATCCTGGTCTGAAAATGGTCAATGCTTCTGAGCGACTCCAGGCACGATCGAAGCCATGCATTCCATCTGTCAGCCAGTGCATATTATTAATGAACACGCAGTCATCTCGTTTTAAACTGTATTTCTAACTTTTGCACCGATACGACTGGAGTTGTTGACGTACAAGGTGCAAGAACAAGTTTCTATTTCTGGATGAGAAACATTTAAACAGCTACATTTCTGTGCTACAGGTTCATCCTTCACGAGGCGAATGACGAGAAGAGAAAGAATGTTTGTCGGCACATGTGGACTGCAGCAGACGTTCTGTGACGTGCGGCGATACGCTCCAAGACATTCTCTGACGTTTAGTGATTTTTATTGATTTTGACAAAATCCATTTTCAAGAGCAGAACCATGTAATAATTGTGTCCCCTTCAGTGAATCAGACATCTTTAAGTCGTCTTTTCTCCTGCCTTCAAAAGCTCATCGCTCCAGTGTCCCCCTTCCCTATATAACAATGTGGTCAATGTTCTGTTTATTTTTTATTTTTTAGAGCGCTCAGGAAGGAATTTAAGCACTGTAGAACTCCAAAGCGAATGATGCAGCACACATTCCTGCTTCCTGGTCTGTTTATGTGAACAGTGCAGATAGAGCCAACACAACATGGGACTTATTTTAATGTCAGAGCAGAGTTTCTGGACTTATTATTATTTGTCTGTTTCCAAAATACCAGTTACAACAGCTGGCTTCATTCGCTGTAGGCTGTGTTACGATACTTAAATGGGTAAATACTTTATTTTCAAATATTACTGCTCCCGTTCATATACAGGTTCAAATACTTTGTTGTTTTTTATCTGCTAGATGCAAATGTTTTGCAATTATCTTTACATACTTCTTTTTGTGATTATTTAGTCATTCAGATCAATGCTGTGATTTAAAATGATGATAACATTGATTTAAACAGACAAGAAGCAGAATGGGAACATTTGCAAATGGATCTTTGTTTTGTAGCTGCCCCATTAGTATCCAACCAATCTGTAACAATGACAAAAAAGACTTAAAATTCAATGCTTACCAAGTAGTAAAACATAATATATGCACATATTGTCTTTAGTGAATATGGGCTTCACTGTTCACAAAATATGTTCCGAACAATTGTAGGATTCTGTACAATAACAGAAGGCTTGTTTGGTAAAGAAACGCAAAGTGGACGTGTATATTGAGAGGTGTGTTTGGATAAATGATTCTTATGTTGGACTTATCTTTACAAAGGAACACTGACTGTTTTTCCAATCCCAGAGTGACAGATGGTGAAATGTAGCACTCATCATTAAAGTGCCAATGAAGCACCTCTGACTGATGCAGGACCTTGTGAAATACTCGCGTTCTTCTGAATCCTGTGATCAATAGTTCACTCCTTTCCTCTGGCTTTAAAGACATGTTGTCGAAGTTTCCGAGAGAATGATAAACGATGTGAAGGCGAGCTGCATTGGAGGTTACCACAAGTGAGGAGACTGTTAACAGCACTGCTCACATCATAGAACATAAGACCTCTCATGTTTCAGCTTTGGGATCGCTCTAAATGCATTAGGTTGAAGGTCTGTAACAGTATGAGCAGAACTGTGTAGCTACTGTAGCTATGATAGTTATCTTACACTTGTTTTTTTGTATTTGCTCTATTTATCATGTGAAATACAATACAATAGAATACTTGAAAAAGTATTCATACCTCACATTTTATATGTTTATAACCACAAATATGAAGATATTATCTTGCCATCTTATGTGAAAGATCAACATAAAGTGATGTAAAATTGGGAAAGTATATGTGACTTTTAATTTGTTCAATAGAATAATAAAAAACGGAAAATTGTGTCCTGCAAAAGTATTCAGCGCCCCTGAGTCAACCCTCTCTGCTCCAATTACACAACCTTTAATGAACTCGCCTTTTACTCAGCTTCTCTGAATACTGTTTTTGCTTTCACTTCACACTTTTATGAAGTGAAAGGATGCAGTGCTTTATATGTCACTGCATCCTTCTATAAAGTAAGCCCGGGTACCTACTATTCAAGGCACAAACAAATGACATTATAATTATTAAAGGAAAGAGAGCCAATCAGCTCTCAGCCTAAAACATCAAATAGTGACTATTTCTTAAAAGTATGTAAAAGATGCATTGTTTTTAAATAATAAAGCCAGCATGTTGGCAGCTGACAGGGGAAAAAAATGCATTGTGTATGAGAGAAAAAAGTTAGGTACCCCAGATATCAGAATAACATTTGCACAACAATTTGTTAAGAGAGGTAACAGCCTAAGTTACTTTTTCAGTTACTTTCTGGACTGTGCATCCAATATGTGTATTTTTATTTTGGACTCCATCAGCTGCAGATGCAGGAAAACACACAGGACTTGTTTATTTATGACTAGGGCTATTGTCAGAGCAGCGTTATCATTCTGAATCCATCGAGTTTTAGTAGAAATGTTATTGTCAGAATAGACTGGATCTACCGGGGCCAACTGTGTGTTGTTTTGCTGCATCAGCTGTTGGCTACGTGTTACATCACAACATCAAAACCTGTGGCTATTACAGCTGGTGCAGTTTATATACAGGTGCGCTTAGGTAAAAATAAAATAATACAAAACAAATGGTGTTATTACTGTAGTGCTCCTACATCTTAGAAAATTAAAAAAAGAAAAAATCACATTGCCTCCTTTTGTCCAAGGAGTGAAAATGTGAGGGTTTAGACACATGTTTAATGCGTGAATGTGATCCCTATAAAAATCAATCAATCTTATTTGCATTATCAAGCAAACGTTATACACATTTTATACAGAGTCAGGATGCAACTGTGCTTGAGCTTTACCTGAATGATAATAAAGTACATATCTAGCTATCTTATGCTTACTGGCAAACCCTAACATTTCAAAATGACTCATACTGTCAAGCTAAGAGGGAAAACCCAATTAAAAGTGCTCAACACACAAATTGCTTGGAGCTGTAGAAAAAAATGCAACACCCAGCCTTGTATTTCCCCAGACACACACAACACTACGTCTCCTAATTCAGACTGAACGTTCAATATTGCACCCAATGACACCCTTGACCTACTGTCTTATTTTGCTGTATTCTCGGCCCTATGTTGTTACAGTAATGAGATATATTGAGCCGCACAGGAAGCTAAAGGTGGCCCGGCCCTGTGCCTAAAGGCCCCCCGGGTGGCTGGTGCGAGGCCCATGGAACACGGGTCATGCCACTCAGCTCATCTCCAAGCTTAATGGATTATCTCTGGTCTACGCTGTCCTTCACATGTCTATGCAGGTAGAGAACGTATAAGGGAAAACAATGTGTGTGCACTGCAAAATACAAACTCATCATCCTCAGTCCGGACTGATCGGATCGCAATTCCGGCTTCGGGGAAATGCACAATCTTTCATGTCAGGCAGAAATGTTCTATTACCTCCGAGGTTTTCCAATTGTGTGATAGATCATCTTCCCTCGCACCTGACGTGTTGGCTGGATATTAAACGGTAGACTGACAGACACACACATGTTCACGCTCCGATGATGCCCGCCTGGCCCTGTGCTTATTCTGTAAATTTGAAGTAAATGTGTGGTGAAAAAAGGTGGCCTGCGAGAACTTGGCCTACTTTTCAATTCTAGTGGCATTCAGGTTGCTCATTCCCCCCATTTCCTCTGGGGCTGCCATGACCAAACTGACTAAGGCCCCATATGCAGCTTGTTTTTTTTTTTTTTATGTTTGTCCTAAGGGTTCACTAGGGGCACAGTGGGTTGAATGTTTGCCTACCAATGAGAGAGAACCGGGTTTTAAAGGAGACATAGGTTATGATGGAAAAATAGACTTTAATGACCTACATCTGTTAACAGTGTTGACATTAGCTGATGCAAAGTCATTGTGATTGATGTATCATGCCTGATTGAGTACATTAGTATTGTCTACAGTTTCAACCCATCCATTACTCTGTTGTTATTTGAACTTATTTGAATAAATGAAAAAAGGCCAATTCATACTTCTTAAGAAATATTGTACAGCCATGACACACTGCACCAACAAGGTCAACATTTGTTACGGCTGTAGCTTTAATATTAAGCAAGCAATTTTCACAGGCCATGGTCCCGACACGTGCCTTGAGATATGTTTGTATATGTTTTAAGCGATAGGAGAAACCGGAGCACCTGGAGGAAACCTACGTACAAGGAGAAAGCGCAAACTCCACACAGAAAGGCGGCGGATTTGAACCCAGGAGTTAAATACTGTGCCGGGCCACCAAGACCGAGAATCATGTGACCATAGAACACAAACGTTAGCTAATTAATATACACGTTATGCAAAATGACTGGTGAACGGTGAAAAACAAAAGGGGAAAAAGGCAGATTTAGACGGAAAATGTCTATTCACGCTGTTCATACTTATACTGTGTTAAGCCAATCAGAGCGCAGTTGCCTCGTACTCCTGCCTAATGAAGCGATTTAGCCCTGACTCACATACAGTATGGAATTCAGATATGTGACTGTAAGTACCCATTCAATAACATAAACACATTGATAAAGTACAGTATGATGTCATGGTGTGATCTTGAATTTTTTTGTACTTTGGTTTTATTTTGACATCAGTTTGGTTTGGTTTTAGTATTACTTCCTGTCATGATTGTCTGCCCCTCCCTAATATGTTTCACCATGTGTCTTTCTATATGTGCTCCTCTCCTCTCCCTTGTTGCTGGTCCAGTGTCTTTGCTTGTCTTCGTCTGTCTATGTTCCTGAGTTTCATTTGGATGTTTTGCTTCATTTTTAACCATGGACTTTTAATTTCTGCATTAAATCCTTATTTTTGCATTACCACTTTTTGGATCCTCATTCAGATGGGGTTTTTTAGCTGTCATATGAACAGAAAAGGCGTTTCCAAATGGGCTGGACTCGGCACAGCTCTGCACAGTTTGCACATTTTCCCACCTTAAGTTTCATCTTCAATTTGATATGTACAGTAGATGAATGGAACGAAAACTTGTACTTCTGATAAACTGCAGCTAAGACTATACACCTACAGTCTACCTTTACGTTTATTAAGGAGGACATGATATTAAACTGAAGAACATGGATACACATTACTGGGGTTTCCATCTCAGAAATGTGTGTTGGTTTCACTGGACCCCGCAGACACTTCATGTGATTTGGATTCAGCTCTTATTGCTGAAGTTACAGAGGTCACAGATGTAAAAGACTGTTTGCTGTTTGCTGATAGATGGTGTTTCTCGCAGTTTATTTCCAGAGACAGGTGTGTTCTCATGTTGTGTGTGTGTGCATAAATATCATTGCCCGTCATATATTTTGTAGCTTGAAAGTTTATGTGTTTGAACAAAGTTGCCGACGAGCCTTTTGCAGAGTTACTGATTATATATTAATAGTTGTAAATCACATCGCTGCTGCTTTTTTAATTTTTTTGTTCAACATTTTTATTTAACCGGGAAAGTCCCATTGAGATTAAGAACCTCTTTTTCAAGGGAGCCCTGAATGTGAAATGTAAAGTAAAAGAACACATTATAATAATCAAATCTAGACAAACATTGCCACATAAAAGCCTCGCGAACAAAGTATAAAATAGTGATCTATGTGTTTGTAGCCAATAACAACAAACCACGTTCCAGCACAACTACATTTTACAGAGGGACTGATTATCTGTATTGCTATAGTTTTTGATATATGGAATTCTTTCTAATGTAGTAATAATCTGTTATATACTTTGTGAAAAATTAAACTTAAATGTCAATACTGCTCAGGCAAATATTACTGAGGCTGGATAGGATATAACCAAGAACTAACACGATTTTAACCATGTCTAGAAGGTTGAAGATACACCAACTGGGCATGAAACCAAGTCTCAAACCAGGACTAAAGCAAGTCTGAAACCAGGACTAGTTTCAGTTTAGGAATCTAGAGAATACACTTGTTTTATACGTTTGGATTTAGCCGCAAGAATAGCCCTGTTCCCTTCGACATAACACTTCATCAACTTTGTCAATTCAAAACAAATAGCCTTTTCGGAAAATATTACTGTATTTCCTAGGAATTAACCATATTGCATTAACTTTCATAGAGATACAAGTTACAGATCAGATATATAAGGCTGTATTCATGTTTTATTGAAGCATTTAGAATAATAAACATAGCTGTAACATTTACATAGTGGCAAAAAAGGAGACGGACTTCTCAGCTGATAAGTTATAAGTGCAGTAATTGGTTGTGAATGAAATAAAAGTGCTCACATGAGGGCTTTTGTTTGTTCTCCCCTCTCTCCCCAGCTCAGGATTGTTGTTCATCAGTCATGCTGCATTTTGGAGACCCCCTGCTGGGAGAGGTATGATGTACCCTCCTCTCCTGTCCTCTCTCCTACTTTATCGTTATCATTATAGAGAATGACTTCACCTCTAGTCTTTTCACTGCTATTCTCTCATTTCATAACGCAATAATAGGAACTAGGAACCCAGCCTGTATCCAACCTAACTGAGGATGGGTCAGATCCAGTTGAGTGTCCTATCCTAGCCTTGGCGAGCCCGAATGACTACGGCTTTCAGTCCTAGATCTACATCCTGTCCGTCAAGGGGAGTTGATCTCTTTCTCATTGTGGGCCTGAGATTTCGCTACTTTTTTCTTCCACCGGGTTTTGAAGATTTCTCTTGCCAATTCAGAAGGGTCAAAGGACAGGGGACAATCCAAGGCATTTATGAACATTGGTTACATGGAGACTGGTGCATTGTGAATTGTGTGGCAGCTCTGATTGTCACCCCCCTGACCCAGAAATGGATAATAAAGGGATGAAAATGAATGAATGAATGAATGGTTACATGTCATGTTATCCGATATGGACCAATTAATTCTGTGATGCCCCTGGAGACGACTGCTGTTCTGATTTTGGCCTTTACCAAAAGATTTTATTAAATTATATTCATTCCTCAGTTCTAGTTCCAAACAGATTAATTTCTAACTAGTTGTGGTGCTGCTGTGTCTTGTATTACAGAAGGATTTCATATTATTGAGAACTTTATCTCTTCCCTAGTCCTTATAAAGCCAAATATTCTCTTTGTATCCGCCTTGAACAATTCTGTCAGTTCTTTGCAAAAATCTTCTCTGCAGTCAATGTACAACTTCCCGCGTCCAGCCAAAGTGAGAATGTTTTATGAAGCAAAGCGCGTTCGTGACTGAATGACACTTTCTAAAATTTAGATCAAAGCTGGTGCAAATCCCATCAAGAGCATAACCTCGGGGAGCTGTCCTTAGTGCTGAACTCAGTCTTGATACAATGCAAGGGTTTCCCAGACTGTCTTCTCCGGGGCCTTGCTTCTCACAATATTAAATAAAACATGGCTGACTTCATTCAGCACTCTTGACTTTTTCAAATGTAGTCACTTTTTTCAGCCGCCATTCTATTCTGGGAGTTGTTGATGTGAGAAAGTTAAAAGGGAATAGCTATTCTTGGAGCTATTTGAGCTTGAAATAAAATCTGATGTTGTATACATGGAAATAATGTTGTGTACATGGAAACAATAGAAAGAACATTATGTATGTATCATTCACAAGAATCATTATCCCAAAACTGAAATAAACCTGCGTTCTCGCATGTATTCAAGAAGACATGTTATTGCTTTGATCGCTCCAGAGCATTTAGTCTCAATGTTGGCCGATGACTGGTCAAATCTGTTACAGTTTGAATGCAAAAATATGTGTAATTTAACAAATGTGAGAAAAACTTACAAAGGGATACACTGTAAGCAAGACTAAGAGAGGCTATTTTCACTGAGTGAATGCTACAGTGTGACTGAACAGGAGGGAACATGATCTACAATTACAGTATAAGACCACATACAAAAAACTAATCTAGCCCGACACAAGCTGTGACCGTTCTACATGTAGTGACCGTGCACCTCCAATTACAAAAATTCAGACAAGGAGAAAAATGTAAGCTCTATAAATTGCAATGACACCAAAAGGATTTCACTTTTTTATCAATAACTGATAACTCACAGATTTTCTGGTAGAAGTTAATCATATTTTCATAGTGTTTTCACTGACTCCTAAAGACACTTTGCATTTTGTGCATTATCTAATTCCCCCACACAGGGTAGTGGTAAGCTACCACTGTTGCCACAGCTGCCCTGAGACACACTGATACACAGGTGGCACCACCAGAAGCTCTGACCAACAGTGATTCTCTCAGACACCAGACTTATATGTGCCTCGGGACACAGAGGCAGTTTGGCACTTTAAAGCCTCACTCCCCTGGTGTTCTTACAGGACTAACCAGGCCATGCACTCCTGAGCTTCTGAGATCTGAAGAGAAGGGGCATGCAAAAGTAGCCATGACCACCACAACATAACAAAGAAAATATCAACCTCTAATAGCATCAAATGTGCTGCAACGCTGAGCTCATTCATGAACAAACTAAAGACACTTTTGCAGCTCCATGTGACATAAGAACATGTGACATCACTGATAGAGGTAAATAACTCAGTCTAAATGGCCTAAGAGGGGACATGAAGAGGAGGGACAGGGGGTCTAATCTAAAACTAAACCCTGCAGGCAGCATCTTCTCTCCCAAACCATGCACTATATACAGTAGCTATTTGGAAACTTAGGTCAGATTGGGTCAAGTGCCCAGAGCCTTACGCACGGATTAACAGCACACACAGGGATCAAGTGCACGGTGTCAGTTAGTGCGCACTTACCGTCCTCCATAACTTCTGGGTCTTGACCGTGACAGAAGTGGCGGTGACAATCAAATGAGACACGGAGACCATAATCCCAAACAGAACCGCCAGCAGCGTCCGCACGGGGAGCAGCGCATAGGCGACGAACGTGACCAAGATCAGCTGCCATACGCCCTGCTCCGGGGAAGTGGGGGGGTCGATTCCCATGGCACCCAGGGAAAAGGGACAGCACAGAAAGGAGAAGGTGAAGCCGAAGAGCAGCGACAGGTTGACGATCTGCTGCAGCTGAGTTACTTGCAAGTACTTGACATTAGTTACTATGAACAAGGAGGCAAAGATGATGCAGTGCACGGGATGGGACCCTTTGGAGATGGTCAGCGCTGGTCCGGATAGCAGCTCGACCACGGCCAGAGTGGAGGACATGAAGATGAGCACGGCCAGGGCTTTCAGAGTGGACGTCTGCTCCAGCTTGAGGTTGTAGTTTTGGAACAGCGACTCCAGTTCCTTGCAGTCGAATTCGTCCTCGCAAGCGATGGTGGACAGGGGTACACCCGGCGGACAGTGACTTCTCTTCCGCCTGGTTTTGACTTTCTGAAACGGTATTTCCTCCATGTCAGGGCCATTCATAAACTGAACACCTGCTCGCCTTGCTCGGCTCGGTTAAAATAAATGAATGGATAAATACAATGAAATCTGTGCCCAAAAAGAGGCAGCGAGAGACGCGCCTGGAGAGGAGGCGAACGCGAGATGTCCCACGTACTCACAAAAAAAATAAAAAATAACAGCGCTGGCCGGTATAGAGACAGAGAGAGAGATGCACTCCAGACTATCCACAGGTTGAAACGAAATCCCCAGCCTGAAATAAAGCAGTCATGTTTCAGAGAATGACAAGGCAATCCCGCGGGAGTATATAGAGTGAGTAAAAAAATAATACAAAATCTTGGGCAGCAGAATGGCAGCAACAGCGCGCACGACGTCTCTATACTTCTTCAGATGGTAGGAGCTTTTTGCGGGCTCAGATAGGATCACGCCTGCGCATTGTGAGGTGAAGATAAAGACAGGTCTCAGCTACTAAGCGCACTCAGTCAAGGCGATCTGACTATACACTGCTGCTTCCCACGTCTGACAGAAGAGCGCTGTCACCTATAATGACTGTTCTGGTCCGCCTACCCGTGTTCATATGGCATCTTTCCATTATTAGTGTGGCGTTTGATTTCATCACGGGCTGACCTGTTCTCCTCTACAGAATATTCTTAAAAAAAAAAAAAAAAAAAAAAGCATGTCTGGAATTAGTTTTAGTTTGATATATTGGGTAACCCAATATGGGTTTGGGATTGGCTGTGACTATAGGCTATACCATAACATCAGAAGCAAAGCGTGGTTTTAATCAGTCAGAACATATACATGACATATAGACATGCGGTACATCATTTCGATATCAAAATTTACTTCATGTACAGTCCCTGGTTCTCAAGACAGTTTGGTTCTGTTGTAAATGTCGTATAGCACATATTTTAATCAGCTTTTTTCAAATAGAAAGGTAAAAAATCTGAAAAGAACACCCTCCCAGCCAATCAGCTCTCAACCCTAAAAGCATCCAATAGTGACTCACTCTTTTTGTAGTGTGTGCAAAAGATAACATCGTTTTTTTTTTGATAAAGACAGAAAGTTGTGGTCTGATTTGACATTTCACTTTGACTAATTTTGTTGGGACTATAACCACAGAATTATTTTTTTATGAGGGGGAGTTAGGTACCCCAGCTGTATGTGTTGTTATTATCACATGCCTTATACTACACAAACTTAAACAGTGTACATAGTTTACAACAAAAAATGACATTGATCATGAAATTTCGATAGGTTAGTACTTACTATACTGTATTTGTATTATTGTTGCAAAAATGACAAGATGTGCTTTTGCTATTCCACCTACATTTTTAAGAGAAAGTTAAACAAAATTGCCACAATATTATTTGACGTTTCACTTAACGAATTTAACCCAGTCCACTGAAATGTATTATTAAAACATCTCAACTATTGTGGGTTGGGTTGCTTGGGAAAAGTAAATCCTTTGACTATAATCATCCACAGTCAAATATGAAGAAAGATTTGGAATATTTATTTTTATTTTCATTTTTATCATCTTGCACGTGACATCAGCAAACATGGGGCGGCAGCATTTCAGATTTGCATACAAGATCATGAAAGATCACTTTAAACAATGTACTGTGACTTTTTGCCATATCAGATTGTAAAGTTTTTTTCTAATAATCATATACTTGCTCTTTTCCATAAAACATTTTCTTCAATACCCTCTTTTATTACTTTTATCCCTGATTCCCCCAATAGGAATCCAACAGGAAAGTCCTTGTATGTTTAAAACCGCAGTCGTCATTGTAAACAGAATACCAAAACGTAACTAAAATTTCCACCAAATAATGAACTATAAAAACAAAAAAGAAGGATGAAAGAGAGAGGCGGACGTGGCCCTCTCCTCTGGCAGCCGCCTGTTGTTGGCACAGACCTGGAAAGCACATTTATCTTGTGATTTGCCACAGAGACAGTAGCACCAGCATCCTTTTGGCATTTAAGTGGGTGGCGTTTCTCATTCATTATCAGGTGGATTAGTCATTCGAAAGAGAAAATCCTGGAATAATGGAAGATATCTAAGTGCGTACTTCCATTCCCACTGGATCTTTGAAGAGAAATGACATTTATCAACACTTATGGACATTGGTCATCTGCCCCTTAGGGATTAATGGCTCTATGTGTTTGTTTTTTATAATTGCATTTTCTGTATTCTCTGATCTGTGTTGGCAAATTCAATGATTTTGTAAAGTCCTCCGAGAAAACTACTGTTGTGATTTAGGGCTATAGAAGAATTAACTGAATTGAATTGAATTGAAATCTTTGTAAGTAAACTCCATAGTGCTGAGTTTTTGTTTGTATAGATTCACTAGAAAAAATTAAGAATAAAATAAACATGATTCCAAATTAACATACATAGTTTGAAAAAGGGGTTGCACGAAGAAGAAGACACTTATTTTTTGGAATTTGGTTTTACTTCCAGATAAAGAAGAAATAACCACTTCTGTCTGCTGTGGTGATCTATGAGAGTGTTTTTCAACCAGTTTGTTCTGAGATATTGTTCAGCGCGGCTTTGGAAATGATCCAGTATCACAGAATGGGTCCAAAAATGTTTCCAATTTTTCTGTTGTGCAAGAAAATAATGTGAGAAGAATCTGTTTTCTTTTGTGCCTGTTTGATTTTCTATTCAATGCACTTTGGTAAGAATGGCTCTGCATTGTTAGTGGAGATTTATGGACCTTGTCCTGTCTTTATTATTGCATTCCCTTGAGCTCTGTTTGATTTTTTAATTTGGTGTTGACAAATTGACAATTTTGCAAAGTCCTCCGAGACGACTGGCTGTTGTGAATTAGTGCTATAGAAATTAAAATATATCTACTATCCAGAATTGATCTAAAAACTTATGTCAAGGAAATGAGACACACACCTCTATTTTCAGTCCTGCCCTATTACTCTGTGCTCTGCCCCATTAGGTGACATCATCAGAAACATTTGAAAGTTTGCAATCTAGGTGTATTTTATGCTCCTCTGCATTTGACCCATTTTATAGGGCAACTCGTCAGAAGAATCATCCAGTGACCCATCTCCAAATGTTGATGTTCAGCCTGGTCAGAATCTTATAGAGGAGCCTGCAGTGCATGTCTTGGGGAAACCGGAGCACCTGGAGGAAACCCACAGTCATCAGGGAAACATGAGAGACATGCAAAAATCCACACAGAAAGTGAAACACGGGAGTCAAACCCATGACCTAGAATAAGTAAAAGTAAACAAGGACCGTGATGGGGTGAGGACGGTGAGAGGAACCAGGGAGGACCAAAGGTGTCTCAGGTGAAAGAAAAGAAGAGTCATTCCAAATAAAATATCCATGAATCGCTCAATGGACGACTAAATATCAAGGGGAAACAACTAGAACAGCAAAAAAGAGCACACATATTGTTTTTTGTCTCCTCAGGTCATCTGGGACAGGTTTACTGTGTCCCAAATGTCAGGACCAAAAAGAGTGAGGAAGAATTTTGTTTTTTTATCCTCCACATCAACTGCTATTCAAACTATAAGAACGCTTAAATCATAAATTTGTGCATTTTTAAAAATGATTATCAGATCTGTTTTTATTATCACAGATGTATGCATGTTTATGTGTGTATATATATGCATTATGTTGAAGTATATGTACTATATGTATAGATTTGTTGTATTTTTACTTTTTTATTATTTTTATTTCTATATTGTTTTATTGTTTTCCAATCTTTTTAAGCGCCTGTTAAGCACACTGGGTTGCTTCCGTATGAATGGTGCTTCATATACATTTGCCTTGCTTTGCCTATAGCTATAATATTACTGTAATATGCAATGTGTGTATAATTTTCTCCTTATACACAATCTTCACCTAAATGCAATGTATCGCGATTCAAGAATTAAAAAGAAAACATCACACAACAATAATAATAATCTGGTAAAATGTCACTTTAGAAAAGTCTTAAACGGTTTAAAAAAATTCTAGCGACATATAACACACAATCTCATGGTAGGCTGGGCTCACACAAACGCAGGGGAAGAAAATTTAGAATCTTGACCATGAAACGGAGCCTAAAATAAGAACTATTTTCTGATAAAAGGCGGGTCCAGCTGTGGAGCTGAATCAAAGCAGGATTTATTTTGAGCACGCAGAATTCAGAACACGCAGCCGGTCTATTTTCAAATCTAGAGCTGATCTATGAACGCCTCAGATCTCAGGCCAGGGTTCTTTTTTTTTTTCATAATACAAAATCACATTCTCACATGCACCGGTCTTTGGCTCACGGTTGGCCCATCAGTCACAATCAAACTCAATTAGTTAGATTATTAGTTAGGTTGTATTCTTTTTTAGTTTGCCCTTGCATGGGTTTTAGATCAGATTCAGATTCATTTATTTGCCATTTGCAGTTTAGTGGGATCTCAGAGGATCAGAATTTAAGACCAGAGACTAAAAATGCTACTGGACACGATTAGAAAGAGGCACTGCATAAATCACTGTGATAAACCATTATGACGGGGCCTACAGGGCTGTGCAGTCACTGTGGTGGATGTGAAGGATAAATATTTACAGTAGAAACCATTTACATTACTTTCCTTATCTGTATAATGATTCCTTTTATTCCTTATCTGTATGAATTTCATGTAAATATTGATTTGCATTGTTTCTGTATGATGCAATTTGTCACTTTGTCTTGATGCTTCCAATAAAGATGATGAAAAAAAGACATTTTATTTTCTCACCTGTTTTAGGGCAGTTATTTGTTTTGAAATGATTTGTATTTTTTTTCTTTGTTTTTAAAGCCCTCAATGGTCTCGCCCCGCCGTACTTGTCGGAACTTTTGTTTGTTCGTGACTCAGGCAGATCATTGAGGTCCTCATCTCAACTCCTCCTGGAAGTACCTAGGACCAGGTCCAAACACAGGTCCAAACACCGGTCCTTCTCAGTCCTGGACCCAGACTCTGGAACAAGCTGCCCCCTGATATGCGTGTCCTCACTGATTTTGGCCTTT